GGTCAGGAGTGTTACCGTAGTGTTGCTCCCTCCACACGGAAACGTGGGGAGTGGGGAATAAGCGTTCCCCCTAACAGGTGTCTCTGGCAGCTTACACAGAAGGCCGAGAAGAGTGGCTGCCTCTAGGAAGGCAGTGGGACACTGGCATGAGGGGTGGTGGCAGAGAGGGTATAGAGGTGCAGGAGTGAAGTGTCATTTTTATTCCTTCTTCAAGATGCATGGGATTCCCCTACGTATGAATGACTTCCCCCAGAGCCCTCTGGTGGGGTCCCCAGCAGTGTCCTGGGTTCATAAGTCTTGTAATTGATTTACCCTTATCTTGTTTTTTTCCTGGAGATCTGAATTCCAGGTGTCGTCATGGGAGGGTACTAAGGAGGTGACATTTACTCCTCTGTCCCCTGCTTTTTCTGGATGGCCAGTGGTTCAAACCAATCTTGGGGCACCTTTGTGTGTCCCCAGAGCTTTCCCTTACACTGGACTCACGACCTCACTGGATGTCCTATAAAAACTGACCCCTTTCTGTGCAGGAGCCTATTCCTGACGTCTGGACCCGACTGGAAACATTCCCAGGGCTTAAAGCAGCGCCTCCCAGGCATCAGGCGTTTGAGAACCACCCCCAGGATTTTTGCTATCACAGGACCACCTGGCCTTTTTCCTGACATAACATTTTTTCTTAAATGACTCATGCTTAAAACTTAACAAACTTATTTTAAAAGGATATTTTAAATCACTATTATAAATAGTATTCCTATAAAAAGAAACAACCTGGCCGGGCGCGGTGGCTCACGCCTGTAATCCTAGCACTCTGGGAGGCCGAGGCGGGCGGATTGCTCAGGTCAGGAGTTCGAAACCAGCCTGAGCAAGAGCGAGACCCCACCTCTACTATAAATAGAAAGAAATTAGCTGGACAACTAAAAATATATAGAAAAAATTAGCCGGGCATGGTGGTGCATGCCTGTTGTCCCAGCTACTGGGGAGGCTGAGGCAGGAGGATCGCTTGAGCCCGAGAGTTTGAGGTTGCTGTGAGCTAGGCTGACGCCACGGCACTCTAGCCTGGGCAACAGAGTGAGACTGTCTCATAAAAAAAAAAAAAGTTACTAAATTCTAGCTACAAACTATGGCCTAACCAAAGATCTGCTTTTTCTTTTTGTGAAAAAGAAATTGGCAAGTATTAGAGACAGACTAGCGCCAAACTGAGTCTTTTTTCTTGGTGGATTTAGAAGGATTGGAGTGAGGACTTTCTGTCTATGTGATTCAGTGTTAATGCTCTAGCAAAGCACCATCCAAAATCATGCCTTAGAACATTTGAATTGCATGCTTTGGAGAAGAATGGGTTAAAGCCCTTTTTTTTTTTTCTTTTCTAGAAAGTTTCAGTTATGTGTCCCTATGCATTTGCGTCATCTGAGCTGGACAATACATGAAGCCATTATCACCCCAGAGTTTGCGGCCCTGATGAAGCTGGCATTCTGGCATTCCAGCTGATATTAAAGTAACATGGCATTCAGCATGGTACACAAGCCTTTTTTCCCCCCGAGGTCAGAAATGCATGCATTTGAGAGGAGGGAAAAAAAGAAAAGAAAAGAGATGCATCTACTTGGAGGCAGCATATGATGGCTGCTAAGAATGACGCAGGACTAAACAAAGGGGAATTTGTCCTTTTTAAAAGAATTGGAAGAATCTCTGAACTGGTTCATTGGGTTCTTCCAAGGGGTGATGCACAGAATTGCAGCCGGGGCCTCCCAGACTGAGTTCTGCAGCCACACAGCTCCTGGCTCATCCCCCCCAGGAGGGGCCCCTGTGAGAGCCCACAGGCACTGGTCAGTCCCGTGAGGGAGTAGCGGGGTCGGAACGAGCAGGTTCGGAGAGCAGAGCTGGCAGGGAAAGGGCGGCAGGTTTGTGCAGTGCCTGTCCGCTAGAGGAGGGGTGCGAGTCCATACCAGAAAAAGGCTATTTTAAATGATCCTATTTCAGAAATATCAGTGGATGCTCAAACTGTTAGGGTGAAAGTTTCATGAGAGACAGGATCTTTACATTATTTCAAAATACCTCCCCACAAATGCTACAACGTGGATGCACCTTGGAAACATCATGCTCAGTGAAAGCAGACAGACACAAAAGGCTACATATTGTATGCTTCCGTTTATATTAAATATTCAGAATAGGCACATCTTTGGAGGCAGAAGGCATATTAGTTGTTGCCAGGGGCTAGGGAGAGGGGAGAGTGGGAAGTGACTGCTTAATGGGTACACAGTATCCTTTTGGGGCGATGAAATGTTCTAGAACTACATGGTGGTGATGGATGTACAACACTGAATGCAGTAAGTGTCCCTAATGGTAAATCTTATATTCTGTGTATTTTACCACAACAAAAATATCACCCCCTACAAATTATTTTTTAATTAGAAAGGGAAAATGTGCAGTGAAAGAATCTGGCAGGCAGTAACCAAGTGATCAAAGTTAGCGTCACCAGACTGTGCCTCCCAGTGGGGTACACTGAGGACACATGGCTTACATTCTTGCATTCTTGTAAAAAAAAAAAAAACATAACCTGAGTCAAGTCAGGAGGAAACATCAAACACAAATTTGAGGAGCATTCTACAAAATAAAAGTCAATACTCCAGTGCTGTCCACGTCACCAGGAGCAAAGCAAGGCTGAGGACCCGTTCTGTAGGGAAGGAGACATGACACAATGCAATGCGTCATCTCGGATTGGGTATGTTTGTTGTCTGTGTATATGTGTTAAAGTTGTGTTATGTTATTGGGATAATTGGAGAAATTTGAAAATAATGACTGTCATGTTTTTGATAATAGATATCGACATGTATATTTGTATGGTTTTACTGTTATGTTAACGAAAATGTCTTTGTTTTTCAGAGAATACAACTATTTTTGTATTATGTATTTTTATTGTGTGTTTTAGTGTCGCTTACTCTCAAGTATTCAGAGATGGTGGTTTTTTTGTGTTTTGTCACACTTGTATGTTATTTATTGTTTATGCCGGCGTCGGAGGGTGGTTCACAGCTCTTAAGTCGCGCTAGCTTGTTTGCTCAGTTTTTGTGTGCGGATCATGAGCTTCAGATTTTGTCTTTATGTGTTTTGCTCTGTTGTGGTTTTATTGTAATTGTTGTTTTAATAGTATGTAAAAAAAATTAGTGTGTTTTTTTGTTTGTGTAGCCGGCTAGCGGTAGGTATTGCATGAAGAAGCGGAGGGAAGAGGCCAGTCGCTTGAGCCAGGAGTTGTTGAGGGTTGGCGATGTGTGAGCTGTCTGTTGTGTGTTGTGTTGTGCTCTAGCCGGAAACACGAGTTTAGACTGTCTCAAAAAAAAAACTGAGGCTAAAATTTCATCATGGTATAGACAATCTGATTTGAACTGTACTTTAAAAAGTGAAACTAACAATTAATTTTGTTTTCTACAAAATTTTAATAATAATATCGGCTGCAGTTATTGGAGTGAACAAAGCATTCGTTTGGTTGCACTCTGCCAACCAGATTGATAAGACACCTTCACTTGACATTTCAGTTTCATCAACCAAGATCATGTTTGTAAAATATGGTCAAAGGTTTCCTCAGTGTTCCCATGTGTGACTTTTGATCCTTTAATGTTCAAATAATTCTTTTGAATGCTTTTTCTTTTCTTCTCTTATTACCTCATCCACATTCAACTTTTTTCCTCTTTTATTTTGAACTCGCTCAGACAAATCCTCGTGTGTTAATGTCTTTGGTGCCTTTTGAATAGTCCTGCAGTGTCACTTTCGTCAACTTGGTAGAATTCTAGTTCTTTTGCAAGATTTCCAATTTCACTTTGCAGTCACTTCCTGTTGTATATTATTCAAACTGTCCTACCAAAGTAAAAAAGTTACCCCGAAATCTCAGTGGTTTAACATCCAAAGGCTTATTTCTTTTTTTAACAAGTAACTGCTGGTCTATAAAGGCTTATTTCTTAATCGTAACATCTATCCAAGGTGTGAAGGTTTAAGGTATTGTGTCTGCACCATGCCCAGCTACTTCCTCAAGGGGAGGAAGTGTGGAGAACTCACACCTGCTCTCCCATGCTTCCCCCGGAAACGGATGTGCTGTGCAATTCTGTCCCTGTTGGTCAGAATTAGTCACAATGGCCCAACCTGACTACAAGGGCATCTGGGAAATGTAGTCTTCTTATGTGATCAGCTAGAGGCGATGAAATGGCAACTGTCTGCCACGCATTGCATTTGTATTTTGGGGTCCAGTGTTGTTCAAATGGGGATAAATATTGAGAGGAGGGGTGTTTGAGTGGGGATTAATTTTATGCATGGTCAGATCTTCAGGAAATACTTTTGTATTGTGATCATTTTTGCTTTGTTATGAAGCTGGGACTCTGACAGAGAGTCCTCAAACGAGGAGTTTCTGGGGCATGGCATCAGGAACATGTCAGCACACACATGGCTCCTCCTTCCTGACCGGTGCCCGCGGTGTGCTTCAAAGACACGATGCTTCTCTGAATTAGGGATTTTAATGGGTCCTCACCCCTCCTCCTCCACAAGAAATATTTAATGTTTGGATCTAACAATAAATAGCTCTTCATGCCAGACTTTTTTGTGCAATAAAGTTTCCAGGCGAAGAAAGATGACAAGACCTGTTTTCTATTTTCTAAGACCCCTGTAAAATTTGATTTTTAAAATTTTTTCTTAGAGACAAGCACTCCCGCTGTGGCCCAGGCTGGAGTGCAGTGGCGTGATCATAGCTCACTGTGACTTGGGACTCCTGGGCTCAAGCCGTCCTCCCACCTTATCTTCTGCAGTAGTTGGGACTACAGGCACGCACCACCACACCTGGCTAATTTTTAAAATATTTTTTTGTAGAGGTGCGGTCTCTCTGTGTTGCCCAGGCTGGTCTCAAACTCCTGGCCTCAAGTGATCCTCCCACCTTGGCCTCCCAGAGTGTTGGGATTACAGGCGTGAGCCCCCGTGCCTGGCCTAACATTTGCATATTTTTATTTTTAATCTTGTTTTGTCGTTGACAGATCTGAACCTCTCTCTCACGCTCTTCAGCACATCCCTCTCTGGACTTTGCACGTGACTTCTCGCCCCGCCCCGCCGCCCCGCCCCGTGACAATGTTGGTGCTTCTGGCTTTCATCATCCTCTTCCACATCACCTCCGCCGCCCTGCTGTTCATCGCCACCATCGACAATGTGAGTGCCCCTCCTGCCGGACGTCACGGAGACTCTGCGTCCTGGAGTCGGTAGAAGCAGGGCGAGAACCCTGCCAAGGTGCTCGTGACTTGGGGTTGTCCCGTCTCCTGAACCCAGGACTGAGGACTCTTGGCCTAAATAGGGGACTTCTGGGGTGTCCCATGGGCAGGTTCAGATGGCAGGTTCTGGAGGGCAGGGACCCCTGTCCTCTCTCTCCGATTCCCCGCCAAGAGCCTGGCTCTAGGGAGCTCTCCAAGGATGTTGCGTGGATGCAGCTGTCCTCTAGACCAGTGGTGTCAGCCTCGCCACCCTGGTCATTTTGGGCTGGACGGTCCTTCCTGTGCCACTGTTGGAGGTTTAACACCTCCCTGGCCTTGACCCTCTAGATGCTGGTAGCACCCCCGCCTCTAGTCGTGACAACCACAAATGTCTTCAGACATTGCCAAACGTCCCGAGGGCAGCAAGATCACCCTCTGCTGAGGGCCACTGCCCCAGGTCCCCAGGATGACCCTCTCCAGGTGACCTCTGCCCTCCTCCCCTGACAACCTCCTTACCAGCTCCGATCCCTTGTCGGGAGCCCACCTGGCCATGCCCTCCCCAGCGGAGCTCATGCTTGGAACTTTCCAGACTCTACACGTGGCTCTTTTCTTTAGTGTCCAGCTCGAGGCCATATGGCAGGAACGTATTTGATAAATAACCCTTCGGCATAGATTAACATCCCTCCAGGCAGGAAACGGCGCTTTTCAACAGAGCTGCTCTATGGCCCGTGTGCGGGTCCAAAGACCTGGCTTCCGTCCTGATAATTTCAGACTGCAGAGGCACTGAAGGGGCAGCGTTGCTCAGAAAGTCAAAAAGTGCCCCGTGTGAGTGGCCACCAACCCTGCCTGCACGCAGGACTCCTTTTGAGTAATCCTCACGACAGTAGGTAGCACCTGTCACGTAGGGAGCCATTACTGTGGCCAGGGCCTGTGTGAGCCCTTCCATATGCTCCATCTCCTGTGAGCCTCACTCCGACCGGACCAGGCAGGGACTCTCCCTGTGTGCTGCTTTACATGCGAGTCCAGTCTGGGCACGTGGTGGAGTTTACGCTGCAGGAAGCGGCAGAGCCGGGATTTGAACCGTCCCAGAGGCTCCCGGTCCTGGATCCGGCCAGGGGAGATGAGCGCAGTGATTGCATTTGGGTTCTGGAGGTTCCTGCCGAGCTGCTGTGAGGGGCCTGGGCAGGGATGACATCGATGCTGCGGGTTAAAGAATTCGGACCCCACCATCCAGAGCGCCCACCGTCTGTGAAATAGGTGGTATCGAATGTTCTTTTAGAATCTCCTTTTTCCATTTCTTGCATCCAGTCCTTTGGGATCCCAAAAAGGTCCCAGCCTTAGTGAGAGGGATAGGCAGACATTCGGGGCAGAAAACGCAGGTGCCGAGTCCTGTCGGGCACCCCCGGGGTGTTCCTGTCATCGTGGCACCTGCTGAGAAGATGCAGGCGGACTCTTCCGCCCATCAGCGAGTCTGGCGGTGTTCATTGTGTCATTGTCATTGTGCGTTTGGAATTGTCCTTGGCGTTGTCGCTGGCATGTACTGGGAGCTCAGTGAGTGTCTGCTGACCGGATGGAGGGGGTGGGGGCCAGTCTTGGGGAGGGTGGAGAGTAGAGGGAGGAGCGTCTTGGGTGGTGCAGGCGGGAAGGAGCCCGGCAGCCCCGAGGGAAACGAATGCATTTAGGCTGCAGGCAGGAAGGTCCTGCCTGGTCAATTCCGTCTATCCTGGCGTTCCCCCCTAGACTGCATCGTTTTCTTTTTTGTTTTTTTTTCCAGCATATTATGGGGGTACAAATGTTAAGGTTATGTATATTGCCCATGTCCTCCCTCTCCCCTCGAGTCAGAGCTTCAAGCGTGTCCATCCCCCAGATGGTGCGCATAGCACTCATTAGGTGTGTATATGCCCATCCCCTCCTCCCCCACTCCCACCCGCCCAACACCCGATAAATGTAGTTCCTATGTGTCCACTTAGGTGTTGATCCGTTAATACCAGTTTGCTGGTGAGTACATGTGGTGCCGGTTTTTCCATTCTTGGGATACTTCACTTAGTAGAATGGGTTCCAGCTCTATCCAGGAATATACAAGAGGTGCTACGTCACCATTGTTTCTTAGAGCTGAATAGTACTCCATGGTGTACATATGCCACATTTTATTGATCCACTCATGTACTGATGGGCACCTGGGCTGTTTCCACGACTTTGCAGCTGCATCGTTTTCTAACTCTGCCCCCACATCGCCCCGAGTCCTGGGGTGGGGGGGACTTGACGACCATCTCCTTAATGACCGCCAGCCCAGGCTCCTCTCTTTCCCACACCCAGCGTCAGGGCATGGCCGGGAGCTGGTTAGAAGTGCAGACTCCCAGGCCCACCCAGCCCTCCCAAGGCAGACTCTGCGAGTGAACCTGGCGAGGCGTGAGCCCCTGGGTGTGCGACACTTCCTGGCGGGCCTCGTGCCTCCCAGCAGTCAGGTGGGCCCCGCTAACGGGCAGACGGCCTCTCTCTGCTTCCGTCCCACGCCACAGGCCTGGTGGGTAGGAGAGGAGTTCTTTGCGGATGTCTGGAGAGTGTGCCTCAACGCCACCAACTGCACGGAGGTCAACGACACCTTTGAAGGTGAGTGGGAGTGGACGCAGCCAGCCGGGAGCCCCGAGTGCGAAAGGAAGATTGGGGACTGAGTTCTTCGGGGTCCCCGACTGCTCACCTCTCCTGCGCTCGCAGGGCGGGCCTGGGGGGGCGCAGAGGGGACCCGCCCCAGCTGAGCTGGGCTTCGTCCCTTCCCTTCTGCCTTCTGCCCCTTGGCAAAGCAGAGGTTCCCTTCTCAGCCTTCCCACGGCTCCAGCTGCCACGTGGGGTTCCCTCTCCCCGCCTGGTTGATCCCAGCCCTGCCTCTGCCCAGGCTCAGCGGCTGTCACTCACCCCCGGTCACGTTGTCTCCCCACCCTGCGGTCGGGACCCATAGGAGCTGCGAGAGGGCGCCTTGGGCAGGTCTCTGTCCACGTCCTCAGTTGTAAGGTGGAGCCAGTGACTGCGCCCCTGCCTTCCCGCCTCTTGAAATGAGCTAAAACGTGTGAGGGGGCTTTGAAGTACAGAAAATCCCCCTTAAACACACACCAGCCACTCTCCTTCATCGTGGAATGAATGGTTCTTTTCTCCCTCAAGGAACAAGAGACACTTTGGGGTCCCAGTTGCCTGGGGACATGCAGGGTGCCCCGTTAAATTGGGTATTTTAGATAAACAACAGGTACGTTTTTAGTATGAATGTGTCCCAAATATCGCATGGGATATACTTATGCTAAAAACTGTTTGTTGTTTATCTGATATTCAAATGTAACTGGGCATGCTGTCTTTGTGTTTGTTTGCCAAAGATGACAGCTCTCTTTGGGGAGCAAGGGGCCCTACTCCCTGGGTCCCCAAGTCTCACTGTGTACCCAATAACGACATTTGTAATAAAGGCAGCAAAAGTTCCGATAGAAGGCACCATTTGCGGAAGGTTTACTGCGGGTGCGGGTCCAAGACCTTTACATATGTGATCTCCGATAGCCCTGTCAGGCAGGGACCATAGGCCCCATTTGAACATGGGGAAACTGAGGCACGGAACAGTGAAGTTATCCAAGGAGCAAATGATGGAGCCAGGATTCCAGTCTCGATGCGGCCAACTCCAAAGCCTGCGCCCTTAAGCACGGACACAGCCAGCGCTCGCTCCCTCTCGTCTGTTTACCTGTCGCTCTAACCCCTGGCCCCGGGAACAGCGTTCTTGTCGTCCTCTGCAAAGGCCAGCTGTGGCCGGCGTGTGTGGCCGGCTGGGAGGGCTCGCCGTGCGCCGTGGCCGTGTTTCCCGGCCTCTGTCCGTGTTCCACGTCCTCCATGTGGGATTATTTACTTGTTATTTTCTTTAAAACAGGGGCTGGTAAACAACCGGCCAAATTCAGCCCAACGCCTGTTTTTGTTTGGCCCTTGAGCTGAGAACAGTTTTTGCGTTTTTAAAGAGTAGCTTTAAAAAAAACACAAAAACCCCAAACCAAAACAAATTTTTTTTTAAAAAAAAGGACATTTGACAAGAGAATGTACTGTCCACAAAGCCTAAAATATTTTCTGTCTAGCCCTTTACTGAAAAAGTTTGCTGACCCCTACTTTTTAAAATAGCTCACTTTTCCCTTACATAAATTGTTTTTAAAGGTAACTTTGCATCCTTACCGTACATGATAAACTAACTAGTGTCGCTTGCTTTTAGAAAAACTAGCTTGAAAACCAAATGGTGTTACTGAAGTCTGGGCAGACACACTTACCTCCTGAAGGTTGTGAGCTTGTTTGGGGTTCTTTCCACATTAGTAAACAAAACAAACAACCAAAACCGAAATATTAGTGGGTGTTTTGAGAATACTAAAGCCCCAAGTTGAGAACTCCTCCTTGAGGTCCTTAGAAGAATGTAAACAAAGCAAAGTGAACAGCCCTCGGTTAAGTGAGGTTTTGCTTTTTCCCGCCCTCACTGGGTCCCTCAAACACTAATCTCACGGGCACTTTCTGCACCCACCTCCCAGCGTTGAGAATCCCTGTCTAAGAACACGTGTCTGACTTTTCCCCCAAAGCCGTGTTTTCTATGTTCGCCATCACATGAGCCGCCTGTTGCTAAACATACACATTTCTGGTGCCCACCGCAGGATGACGGTAGCAGAATTTCTGGAGGACGGGGATGGAAGGAGCCTAGGTATCTGCATTTTTTAACAAGCATCCTGGTCATTCCTGAAATTGGGCAAATTGGGGAAGTACCGCTCTGAGCCGGAGAGTCACAACTTTGGCCCCATGTTGGAATTCCCTGGGTGGCTTTGCAAACCCCCAATATCTGGGCTCAGTGCCCAACATTCTGATTTATTTCATCTTGCTGGAGCCTGGTGGGACTGTTTTTGTTTTTTTTAATGGGGTTATAATTTACACACAAGGACGTGCACACTTCTTTAAGGGCTCAGATTGATGAGTTTTGACAATTGTATGAACACCCTTGTACCCGCCAAGCAAAACAAGATCGAGAACATTCCCAACACACCTGAGAAGTTCCCTGGTCCCCTCGCCACTCAGCTGCCACCATCCCCTGCCCCCAGGGCAGCCGCCTCTGACTTCTGTCACTGCAGTTTACTTCCGCCTGTTCTTGGACGTCAGCCCACCGGGGTCATGTGGTGCACAGGCGGGTCTGGGTAAGGAGTTGAGGAGGGGCCAGGTGCTCTGCCAGCGACCCTACTGTGCAGCCAGAATGAATTAAGGTCCACCGCTCTAGACGTTTCATGAGGACCTTACAAGTTGTGCTCCCTCCAGTCGGTTTCAGGCAAAATTGCAAACAAACAAAAAAAAGGGTTTGTCCTTACGTTTCCTGTGCAACTTGGGCACTGTCCCTTGACCTGGTCTTTTATCTGCATCCTGGTGACAACATCCAGCTCGTACACAGGACTCTGTCTTTGCCGGCACCCTCTAAAGCCTTACACAGATGAGTTTACTCCCCCTTCCCGGCCTGGTGAGGGGGAAGCTGTGAGCAGTCCCATTTTACAGGTGTGGAAACTGAGGCCCACGAAGGTCACTGCAGTCCCCGTGCTTGTCTTCTTCTCCACGCCACCGGAGCATAGCTTCAGCTGTGTCCTTCCTCCCCACGTGACACGCTCACCCCAGAAATTCTCCCTTCTCCACTGAATCCTCCCTGTGCTGAGCCCCAAACCCTCACACCCCAATCTCTGTTAAGGCTGATCTGAAAGGAACACCCCTTCTTTCCCTAGGGTGTGACCACAAAGGTCATCCCCGTGGTGCTTCCAGGCTGCTGTGGAGTCCCCAGAGCAGTTGCAGAAGGCCACTGGGTCCCCTGAGCCCTGAGTCCATGGCAGTCCCTCTGGGGACCTTTCTAAGGTGCAGACCCCCAGGCCCCCACCCTGACTTCTGGACTCAGAGTCCACCAGGCTGGAGCCCCGGGGATTTGCACTCTAAAAGAATCCCCCGTCCACAACCCTCGCCTTTGGGAGCCGGGACCAGGAGCAGGTGGTTCCTGCTGCGTTTTCCAGATAAGGAAGCTGCGATCGTCTGGTCAGGTGCACGGCAGACGCCGGAGTGGGGGCTCTGGAAGACTCCGTGGCTGCCCTCGTGCTCAGACCGTGTAGACGGCAGCCCGGCCCCCGGCCCGTTTGGCTCCTGCCGTCCCCACTCCGGAGCTGGCGCGGCGGTCACCGTGCACCGCGAGGTGCCGGCCGGCCGTGGCGCTCAGCCGTGCGCCCTCGCTCTCTGCCCGCAGGGTACACCACGCTGCAGGCCGTCCAGGCCACCATGATCCTGTCCACCACCCTCTGCTGCATCGCCTTCCTCATCTTCCTCTTCCAGCTCTTCCGCCTCAAGCAGGGGGAGCGGTTCGTCCTGACGTCCATCATCCAGCTCATGTCCTGTGAGTACGGCGGCCGCGCCCGGGGGGGCGCCAGGAGGAGGGCGGCCGGCAAAGTCAGAAAGCAGTTGGCCGCCGCGCTGCGACAGGACGTCTTACACCCGGCAGTTCGGATTTAGTTAGGGGGTCCGGGAAGGCGTCCGGGAGCCGGGGCTGGGCTCTGTAGGGTGTGTAGGAGTTGGTGCCTGGAGTGTGGACGTGGGGGGTGCAGGGGGAGGTGGCCCAGAGCTGGCAGGTGGGGCCAGTTCCCCGGGGCTTGTAGGCCATGGCGAGAATGTGGCGTCCTTGTCCTAAACCCACCGGTGGGACGCCACCCACAGGCCTGAGGCAGGCGGGGGACCGGAGCTCCACGCTGGGCCAGGCGTGTGCAGGCAGCCGGAGACAGAGGTGAAGGAGACGCGGCCTCAGTCCTGGAGGCGTTTGGAGAAAGCAGGTGTCTCGGAGCACTTTTCTCTGCTTAGGAGCCTTAGCAGGGCTGAGAGCAGAGGAAGAAGCTACGCCGTGATCGTTACTGTTCCTCAGTGCCCGTTTAAGCTTTCCAGGGGCGCAAAGCCCCTTGCGTGGCTTTCTACACCGGGAATGAACAGGTAGCTTGACGAAGGCAACAAACCTGGTCGTCTGGAGCCAAGTCCCTCGGGATGGTCCCCCGGGGCGTGTCACCAGCATACTGGGTGACAGCTTGTTCCAGTTCGCCTGGGACTGTCTCTGTTTTAAACTGAAAGCCTCATATCCCGGGAAACCCTCGGTCTGGGGCACAGTGGGCTGGTGGGTTACACACAGCGTGTTCCCCCCCACACACACTGTCACTGGACGCCCAGGGCACCCCCCTTCCGGGCACAGGCAGACAATGGAAGTGTTTTCACGTGGGAAGGACTCTAAAAGGTCACCTGATCTTGAGAGTCCCATGTCCGTGACAGTCCCTCTTTAGGGACCTTTCTAAAGTGCAGGACCCCGGGGCCCCCCCGCCCTGACCCTTCGAATCAGAGTCGGCCAGGTTAGGACCCCGGGATTTGAGCTCCCATCCATGAGCCGAGCATTTGAGAGCAGTGACCCAAACCAAATGAGGCCAAGAGAGGGCACGAGACTTGCCCAGGGACCCCAGTGAGGAAGTGTCTGCAACCCCCTCCTCTACTGCCTCTATCTCCCGGTTAGAGGTGTAGACACCCCCCACTCCTCCCAGGAGAGGCAGTCGAATCCTGTCACTTAGCATGCATGCGGGGGTGGGCCTTGTGGAGTTACTAACTGAAGTTCATTTTTTTTTTCTTTTTTTGTTTTTTTTTTTTTTGAGACAGAGTCTCGCTTTGTTGCCCAGGCTAGAGTGAGTGCCGTGGCGTCAGCCTAGCTCACAGCAACCTCAAACTCCTGGGCTCAAGCGATCCTCCTGCCTCAGCCTCCCAAGTAGCTGGGACTACAGGCATGCACCACCGTGCCCGGCTAATTTTTTCTATATATATCAGTTGGCCAATTAATTTCTTTCTATTTATAGTAGAGACGGGGTCTCGCTCTTGCTCAGGCTGGTTTCGAACTCCTGACCTTGAGCAATCCACCCGCCTCAGCCTCCCAGAGTGCTAGGATTACATGAAGTTCATTTCTGTTGCTGTCTACATGTGTCTGTTTGTCTGTAAGGCCACTTAGTCAAGACTGATGACCTCAACCTGTTTGTGTGTGTATACAAGAACATTCCCGTATTTTAATACGATAGTCACATCTCCCCTTTCCCTTCCATAACACCCGCTTCTCCTCGACTCCTCTGGGCATTTTCTGGTCCAGGGACCTGTCCCTCCCATGATGCCCCAAGCCTGCACAGTATTTGGATGCCTGATCAGTCAGGGATTTTAGGTGCAAGCAACAGATACTCTAACTCAAGTCAGAGATGGGACTCTGGGGTCCTTTGCAAGAATCAAAGGAATAGCTGAAAAAACAGGTCTTGGAAAGAGGCTGCAGGCACCAGTGAGTGCCAGGTAATCGCTTAGGGGAGATGCTGTCGGAATCAAGGAACTCCAGCAGCGTGACTTGGTCTAGATCCACGTTTCTAGGAACGAGAGTCTGATTGGCGGAGATCGTCCTATGCACTCGATCCCCGGCCAGAGAAGATCTGGGCACCTGACAGACACTCCACCAAAACTGCCTGCCAGGAGAAGGGTAGGCCCCCCAGGGAAAGTCAGACTATTTACCCTTGTGCTGGCACTGATGACTGTGAATATTGGGACTGTTTCAGTTAGGATGCTTTTGGCTTCACGTAAGAGAAAATCCAATTAACACGACTTCAGCCAAAAAGATGGTTATGTTTTTACGTAATCAGTATCCTGGAGGTGGAAGGTGCCAGAGCTAGTTTGGCAGTCCATTGGCATTTGGAACTTACTTCTGCTCTTTCCATCCATTTATTCCGTCATCTTTAGAGGGTCAGTGATAACCCCTTCATGGCTCCAAAAAGGCTGCTGTAGCTCCAGCCATTCCATCCTGCCCTGATAGTATCTAAAGCAGTAAGCAAGGGGAAGTAGAGCAATTATAGAAAGTTTTCTCTTCCTTCATCTCTCTCTCTTTCCAGGAATATTTTTCACTGAAAGATTTTCTGTGGCCAGAACCGGGGCACGTACTGATCCACAAACTACGACTAGTAAACAGGAACCAGATTGGCAGGGGAAGGGTTGGCAAACTATGGCCCATGGGCCAGATCTGACCTGCCACATGTTTCTGTAAATAAAATTTTATTGGAACACAGCCACAGCCTTTCATTTACGTATTATCTGTGGCTGCTGTCACTGCAACGTCAGAGTTGAGTATTTGTGAGGATGGCCCACAAAAGCCCTACACAGGTTATTATCTGGCCCTACACAGGGCAAGGTTATTGACCCCTGGTGTAGACTAACTATGCTTATCCTCCAAGTTGGGTACTTGGCTGTCCAAACAAAACTCGGCTCAGCAAGAATGGGAAGCGAAATAGCTACAGGGTAGGTGGCAATGTTCCCTCACAAACTATTAGTTGCAATTTTTCCAATAGAGTGAAATAAATGTCTATTAATAATAAAAGCTTAAGTTTGTCTTTAACTCCAGCCATATGCCCCTCAGGTACCTGGGGTGCACTGTGGTCCATGATTTATTCAAACTCTGATTTTTCAGCCAGGTGCAGTGGCTCATGCTTGTAATCCTAGCACTCAGGGAGGCTGAAACAGGAGGATTGCTTGAGGTCAGGAGTTTGAGACCAGCCTGAGCAAGAGCGAGACCCTATCTCTAGTTTAAAAAAAAAAAAAAAAAGGAAAATTAGCCGGGCATGGTGGCGCACGCCTGTAGTCCCAGCTACTCGGGAGGCTGAGGCAGGAGGATCGCTTGAGCCCAGGAGTTTGAGGTTGCTGTGAGCTAGGCTGACACCACGGCACTCTAGCCCCGTTGGCAGAGAGAGACTCTGTCTCAAACAACAAAAAACAAAGTCTGGTTTCCTCCCCACAGGCCTGTGCGTCATGATTGCGGCTTCCATCTATACAGACAGGCGCGAAGAACTTCACAGCCAAAACCAGCAGTTCTACCCCGAGAGCTCGGGAGGCAGATATGGCTACTCCTTCATCCTGGCGTGGGTGGCCTTCGCCTTCACCTTCGTCAGCGGCATGATGTACCTGATACTGAGGAAGCGCAAGTAGAGCCGGTCGCCTTTGCTGCCGCACGGAACCCACATTCAGATAACCGTTTTGTATATAATCATATTTTTTTTGTGGTTTTTCTAGCAAACATATTGTTTCCTTTAAAAGCCAAAAAAAAAAAAAACAAAAAAAGAAAAAGAAAGAAAAAAAAAGAAAAAAGAGAGAAGAGTTTTTGCATTCTTGAGATCAGAGGACGGACTGTGAAGCCGGCATTCAGGGCCGCTGCCCGCTCGAAAGCCTCAGCAAGGCCAAGGCAAAAACCCAGCAACGCTCAAGTCCAGCAACGCTCAGCGGCGAGTTTCTTAGCCGCGGGGCGTGACGGGGTGAGACGAGAGACCGAGGAAGCCAGGTCTCTGCGGGGGGACATCCTTCCTGTAGGTTTCGGCCGGGCCCCGCCTCACCTGAGCTTCCCTTCCCAAACCTGCCAGTGGTGGAAGGGGGGTGCGGAGGGGCCCAGGTGAGGGATGACAGTCTCCCTAGGTGTTTAGCCCAAGTCGGGCCACATGAGAAGCAGTGTCGCCCTGGCATGCTGTCCCCATCCAAACCAGAGCCCAATCCTCTTGCAAACGGCTGGTCAGAAAAGACCCATCCAAATTTGCTGGCAGCAGCCACCTGCTGGCCTTGGGGACGGTGACCCTTAACCTGGGCGGCAGATTTAGACTCCCCGTGAGGCAAAAAGTCTCACCACATGATGCCTTACAGCACCTTTTAAAATGCAGGTGGCAGGGCCCCTCTGCAGACCTGCAGAATCAGTCTTCAGGGATGGAGCCCAGGAATCCGCATTTCTAACATGCTCTTTGGGTGACGCTTAGATGCTTTAGAGTTGGAGACCACGGTCCCTGCCTGGGCCAGGCGAGCAGAGCCGCCTCATAAATGCTCGAGATCGTGTCACCCCGAGATGGGGAGGTGGGTCCAGCCCCCAGAGCAGCAGCCTCGGCCTCCATCACCACAGCTGTTTACATCTGGGCCTCCCAGCTCCCGTCCCAGGCTGAGCCAACAGCCAGACAGCCGGGCTCAGAAGCCCTCTTGCTGCCCTGTGTTCTAAGGCTGCTGGCCTCTGACCCCTGTTTCTAGAGCCTCAGAGGGCCCACCCACCATTCATTCATTCATTCATTCATCAACGTAATAAATCCTGGCTGGCTCGCCATGTGCCAGGCACAGGGGCCACCGTCTGGAGATAATCTCTCTCCTCTTGGGGGCTCATAGCCTAGCAGAGGAGACAGATTAAAAACCAGTTAGGAAAACTAACTGCACACTGATGGAGTGTGCAAAGAACACCACCACGAATTCGGAACAGAGGCCGCAAGCCCGGGAGGGGCGCTGCTTCGTGCGGCGGACCGTAAAGGCTCCTGGAGGCGGGCAGGCCGGCGCAGACGCGGCCCGCTCGGTGCGGCCGATGCCGTTAGTGGGGCAGGGCCTGTCCGCCTCGCATCCAGGAAACACGCCCGGGCGGGGGCTCACAGAGCCGGGCTCTCGGGCTTTAGGGGGGCCAGCGCCACTCGGGAGAGGCTGCCGCGGCAGCGCCTGGGTGGTTCCGAGGCTGGGCTGAGAAATCGGGCTTTGGGGGGGCTTGTCTTTCGGGGCCGCCCCGGAAACGTTCTGCGATAGAAGCTCTGTGCACCGCAGCGTCTTTCCCTGCTCGCGTTCTGAGCATGGCGCTGCGAGGTGCCCGGGACGGGGGTGGGAGCCCGTGCTACGGAAACCCTTTTGCACTCCTGCCAAGTGGAGCGCGGGTTTGCCGCGCAGGCGTCTGGTTGCAGGCGCTCTAGGGCCGCCGAGAATACCTCTTCAGTGCAGGATTGGGTTTTTCCATCCATCCATCCATCCATCCATTCATTCACTCATTCATTCATTCATTCGTGTCTTTTCAACAAATAGTGTGACTGTTTAGTTTGTGAGGCACCACGCGAGGCTCTGAAAATACAGGGGTGAGCAAACCCGGATCCCCTCCCGGTCCGCCTGGAGTGTGCAGTCTCTGAGACAGGCCCTCCTCCCCATGGCGAGGCCACCAGCCCGGTACAGGGTGACGTGGGGCCCGAGACGGGACGAATGGCCACCTCCTGCCTCGATGGAAAACCATCGTTAGGCATCTCGCTGTGAGCGAGAGCGTAGGTGCCACCCCGGAGCTTGCGGGATGCGACGTGAGCCTCACGGGGAAGCTGGGTCTAAAGTTCCCTTGAAACTTTCTATGATTTTTTTGGTGGTCACAGCGGAAACAGACAGAACACCTTAGAACCAGAGATCTGGAAGGCCTAGCCCCCAAGCCACGCACGAATTCCCTTCACAGAAGCCTTCAGGGCTCCGCGAGTGCCTGGCTCGAATGCCATCTGACATGACCCTGCGGCCGGCCGCCACTGAATCCACGGCATTCAGTGCCCACATCCGGCCGTGACACAAGGTTTATTATTTGGGGACATGAGCGATGCCTCTTCCCCGCCGTGTGACATGCATCTATCTGGGAAGACGGAAAGAGACGGTGACAGCAGGGAGAAGACTTCCCTCCTCCTCACCCACAGGTAGATTCAGCCCCCACTGGTGCTTTGTCATCAGTTGCTCAAGAACGACGATGACCACGTTAGCCGAGACATCCAGGAAGCGAATGTCAGGACCAAACAGAACACTGACACCCACTGAATCGGAAGGGACTGTAGTCTGCGCATCTTACGACATTTTTGCCAAGTACTGTGATTCTTTCCTCGAGGGGCTGTGTGTGATGGCGCTGGACTAACTCATGTTGTTATTCGCATTAAAATGATTTTGGGTCTCTGTACAAGCGAGTCTGGAGCATGCTTGAGTTGTCCGTCGCTCTGCGTGAACCCGGAGGCCTCCCGCTCCCACGCGCCCTGCCGCGGCCCGCGGCCCCGTGTGCGTGTCCCCGCGAACAGGCCGGGGTCCCGGGACGCTCTGCGTCCAGCGAAGGCGGAGGAGCCTGGAACTCCGAGCCTGCGTGTGCGCACGCTCAGCCCGGCGGCCTGCACAGAAGCTGTGTCGCAGTTTAAAACCTGTCTGGGCTGCGGCGGGGGTGCGGATTTCTAAACCCGCTAACAGTTCAAAGGTCACGCGCAACAGTGCCAGTTGGACAATTCTTTGGTGGCGGGGAAACTGTAGGGGAAGGCCTAGAGGTGAATTTCGAATCTTAGTTTGGGGGGCAATTGGGATTTCAGGGTAGTTAGACTCTTTCTACTTAATGTGCCTTTAAAGCAGTCCATTTTCTATGTTTTGTATAATCTGAAACTGTACATGAAAAATAAAGCTTAAAACCAAATTGCCCAGAGCAAAAGATTGTAGTGTTCCCAACCGTGAGAACCTCCAGGGGCGAGCGCAGCCATGCTGGGGGGCACAGGGTTGGCGGGTGTCTCACCGAGATAGGAACGTGCCGTTTCTGCAGCGAGCAATTGGTGAGTGACAGCTTGTCATCAGACCTTCTCACTTCTCCATGTCTTACTGGGCTAAGGAATCCAGCGGTTCATGTTTAACCCAGTCTCGGGCAGAAGCCATCAAATTATCATTTAAGATTAACGCTGGCCCCTGAGCTGGGGACTGAACCACCTTCGCTAGAGGGTGGGGCTCTGAGCCACACTCTCGGAGCAGAGAAGGGCTTGGCTGCGGGGCAGGCAGCCACCAGGGTCTGCCTGCCACCAGCTGTCCCTTGGCTTTCAAATCTCTGCACAGGTTTGCAACAATTTTAAAAGTTCTTACATGTTCCTGAAATGAACTAACCCTTTCCCGAGAGGGACATAACCTGAGGTCTCACCCGGTCACCACTTCCGCCCCCCACGCTGGGGGCCGAGGGGCTGTGCCGCGAGCTCCCCGCCATGGCCCAGCGGCGGAGGGCTGCAAGTGAAGTCCGTGTCCTCCCAAATGCGCCTGGCATGTGATGCAGGAAAGGGCCAAGCTGCCACAGAGAGTGCTTCCTGGGGGCGCACAGCCTGGTGCCTCAGAGCCACTTCAGGCTTGGGCAGGTAGAGGCTCTTCTCCGTCACGATGGGGTTCCTTTGGCCGTGCAAGAGCTTGCCTGGACCTAATTTTTTTTTTTAAGTTTTTAATTTATTTATTTTGGGGACGGAGTCTCACTCTGTCACCTGGGCTAGAGTGCTGTGGCATCAGCCTACCTCACAGCAACCTCACATTCCTGGGCTCAAGCGATCCTCCTGCCTCAGCCTCCCGAGTAGCTGAGACTACAGGCACGTGCCACCATGCCCGGCTAATTTTTCCATTTTTGGTAGAGACGGGGTCTTGCTTTTGCTCAGGCTGGTCTCAAACTCCTGACCTCCAGCGATCCTCTCACCTGGGCCTCCCAGAGTGCTAGGATTATGGTGAGAGCCACCATGCTCGGCCTGTTTTGTTTTATTTTTTTTCACACAGATTTTGACAGTCAGGAATCCAGTAGCGGCTTATACGGGTCATTCTGCCTAAGGCCTTATTTTTGAGCCTAAGCTTTCCCAGCTCCCTGCCTCTGGGCTCCACTGCAGCCCTGAGGCCATAACTTCAAGCCCTTCGCTTGGTCAGGTAAGGAATGCGAGAGGACCCGGCTGTGTCTTTTCCTGGAATCCCATACTCCTTACCTTCTGCTTCTGGCTCCTTCGTGCGGAACCAGGCTTAGCAAACCACCAGCCTGCTGGCCAAGGCTCTGCTTTCGTATGGTTTTCGAGCTGAGATTTTTTTTTTTCCATTTTAAAAAAGTTGTCAGGCCAGGCGCGTGGCTCACGCCTGTAATCCTAGCACTCCGGGAGGCCGAGGCGGGCGGAGCGCTCAAGGTCAGGAGTTCGAAACCAGCCTGAGCAAGAGCAAGACCCCATCTCTAGTATAAATAGAAAGAAATTAATTGGCCAACTAAAAATATATAGAAAAAATTAGCCGGGCATGGTGGCGCATGCCTGTAGTCCCAGCTACTCGGGAGGCTGAGGCAGGAGGATCGCTTGAGCCCAGGAGTTTGAGGTTGCTGTGAGCCAGGCTGACGCCACGGCACTCACTCTAGCCTGGGCAACAGAGTGAGACTGTCTCAAAAAAAAAAAAAAAAAAAAAAGTTGTCAAAAATGCAAAGAAGACCATGCGTGGCCGGCAACACCTGGAACGTTTACTTTCTGGCGATTTACAGATAAAGTCCGCTGACTCCTGGTTCAGAACTTGACTTCTTCATTCCAGCTGATCTCCAAGTCACTGGCTTCTCCCTCAGTGGGGATCGCAGGCCTCGGGCAGAAAGGATCTCAACAAAGCCGTATTTTCTTCCGTTTCGACATTAGACGGACCACGTTTGGCCCAAGATTTATTTTTTCTTGTTGGGCCTTACTGAAGGCCATGAGAAGCTGGACATCGTGACTCCTTTCTGCAGTTTCTCCTGACACTGCAACTTCCGCGGGTACAGGGTTGGTATAAAATAGGTGACAGTTTAGACCTGGCTCACACTGTCGCCCGTGGGCCACGTCCGGCCCACCACCTGAGTTTGTCGACAAAGCTTTATTAGGACACAGCCAGAGCCACTCATTTACGGAGAGTTCATGGCTGCCTTCAAAGCCAGAGTTGCGGTAGCGGCGGTGTAGACCGCAAAGCCTAGAGCATTTACTGTCTGGAGCTTTTCAGAAAAAGTCTGTCAGACCTCGGTGTACATGGCATGTTTTGCAATGGCATGATGACAAGGGTCACAGATCCTCAGCCAGGAAGAGCAGGATCCCCCCTGCCCTCTACCCTGCCACCTCCACTTAGCCAATTCCGTTAGAGTCCGCGACCCAACGTGGCGTTAGCCAGGGTTCTTAGTTGCAAGCAACAGTGACTCTGGCTGGTTGAAACAGGAAAGGAATTTAGTAAAAGGAAATCCAGTATTGCCCAGGCTTGGAGCACGCCGCCGCTTCTCCCAGGTTGCCTCAGAAGGTTCCACGGAACACAGGTTGGTAAGGAAACCGCTGCTGTCGCCACGAGACGGTACAGCTCGCATCAGCAATGGGACCTTACACGGCCAATATCTCCATCTGTGCTGCTTCTGCTGGGTCTGGCAGTCTCCTTCTGTGTTCTCGGTTCTTGATGTGCTCTTGGCCGAGGGGTGACCAGACATACCAAAGTAAGGCAAGCACGAGGTGACGTTTATTGAGCAGGGGCAAGATAGGATTATAGAGCAAGAGCAAGATATAGGTTTACAGAGCAAGATACATGCGCCACAGATGACAACTGGACCCCTTGTCATAGCAAAGGAGACCTTGGTCATGGTCTGGGTCTTGTTTTACAGTGTCCGGATAGGGACCTCCCCATGGTTCAGAGGTCATCATGGAAACACTTTGGTTGACAGTTGGGAGTTATATGACTTGAGTCTTATTGTTCATGTAGATCTCCCATGAGCCTCTCTGAAAGCCCACTTTGGGGGGCAGGGGATGAACTGCAAAGTAGATTTAAGCTAATGACATGATAATTAGCCTTGGGTTCTCCTAAGTCACCTTCCAGACCCTACTGTACAATACCGACATGGCTTGGCCCGTGGCTAGAGTCCTCTTCGTTCTTTTGCAGATGGTGTGCTAAGTTCTGATTGGTAGATCGGTAGGGCATTCCTTCCGCCCCCAGGTGTGGCAGTCGCTCGGGACAGGATCAAGGTGGGGCAGCACCAAGACGGGGTCCTGCCCCCCCTCTCTCGTCCTCCTTCCCAGGCAGGGCAATTGTGCGGGGCAGCACCGAGGCAAGGCGCCTGCTTTCACCCCTAGGAGACCCGGAGGCCCTCGCTCTCACCTGACACTGCTTCTGTGGATGTGAGGCCTGGCATGGTGCCTCCCATTGGTGACACCAAGTGACCACGTCCTAGCTGCAAGGGAGGCTGGGGAATGACTAGCTGGCATCTTGAGATTTTATGAATGGGGGGTGACTTCCCCAGCCCAGCAAGACTCAGAAGGAAGGGAATTCCCCAGCACGGGACGTCAGACATCGGACAGTCAAACGGAATGTCACGTGCCTGCTGCCTCCCAGCAGGAGCCTGGTCCCCTGGTCACCCACAGTGAAGCCAGCTCGTCCCAAGCCTCGCGCATCCATATTCCACCCACGCCCTCTGCCTTGTCTGCGTGTGCCTCGCACTATTATACACTGAACGTTTTTCTTTAAATTAACTTTTTTTTTTTTTTTTTTTTTGAGACAGAGTCTCGCTTTGTTGCCCAGGCTAGAGTGAGTGCCGTGGCATCACCCCAGCTCACAGCAACCTCAAACTCCTGGGCTCGAGTGATCCTTCTGCCTCAGCCTCCCGGGTAGCTGGGACTACAGGCATGCGCCACCATGCCCAGCTAATTTTTTATATATATATCAGCTGGCCAATTAATTTATTTCTATTTATAGTAGAGACGGGGTCTCGCTCTTGCTCAGGCTGGTTTTGAACTCCTGACCTTGAGCAATCCGCCCGCCTCGGCCTCCCAGAGAGCTAGGATTACAGGCGTGAGCCACAGCGCCCGGCCTAAATTAACTTTTTATATATACATATCTTCCAAAAGGAGACTTAATTTAAAGTAATTTAAAAACCAGATTCACTTGTCCTAAATGATAAGGTTAAAAACTAGACACAATTTTTTTTTTCAGAAAAGCTGCTAAATTCTTATTACAAACGATTGTCTAAAGGAGATTTGGGGTCCGAGATCTGCACTGCCTCCTAATGAGGAAAGGAGATTAGTGGCGACATTTAAAAGATGACCAGCACCGTCCCCGCTGGACGCAGGGAGCTGGGAAGCAGATAGGAAGGAGAACTTTCTCCCTGTGTGATGTGACCCAGTTGGGTACCACTGGTGACGTTTGCTTTGTGGTTTACTTTCAACCCTGCCTTGGTTTCTGATTGCTGCTGTCCCAGATTGCCACAAATTCAGTGGCTTAAAAAACGTGAATTTATTATCTTACGTTTATGTAGGTCCGAAGTCTCGGATGAGTTTCAGGGCCGGTTCCTTTGGGAGGCTCCTGGGAGAATCTGTGTGTCGGCCTTTCCCGGCGTCCCTGGAAGCCCACCCACCCACACTCCCTGGCTGGCCGCCCCTCCTCCGTCTTCAGAGCCAGGAGCCTGGCGTCCCCTCTCCTGTCTGCCTCCCGGCCCCCACCCTGCTCACAAGGACCCCGTGGTCACATTGGCCCCCAGATCATCCAGAATAATCTTCCCCATCCCAAGATCCCTAATTTAATCCCATGTGCAAGGTCCCTTTGCCATGTACAAAAACAAATGTAGTCACCGGTTCTGGGGATTAGAACATGGACATTTTTCGGGGGGGGGGCTGTTATCAGCCTCCCACAACCCCCTCTCCAATCTCGTCTTTCTTATG